AATAAGTGGGGCCCTTTTGGAGTGGGAACCCGTTCAAATATTTCAAAACACTCCCTTCATATCCGGCAGCTTCAACAATTTTTTGCCATGGCACTGATCCAATCACTTCACATAATTTGTTTGCCCGTACCGGATTAGCTAATATTGAAGATGGCCTAAACGAATTTCTTTATGCAATTAGCTTTCAAGATGTCGTTCCTATCAGAGATAAATTTAGAAAAATATGAAAGGAACGTAAAGTACTAAACAAAAAGAATTATATATATCAACCAAATATCCAAACTTTGGCATACGCAACACATATAAAGCAACTCTAGACACACAGAATCGCTTCCCACCATCTTCCAAACCGCCATATTCATTACAAAGCTCCCGAAAATACGAACTAATCACCAAATGATAAAACTTACGGGTTTTAGCCAAGGATGAAACAAATGTCCTATGTAAAGGCAAAGAATTCTCCATGAATAGTGTCTTGAAGATGAACAGCTAAGAAGCTCAGCGATGTATAGAGAATCTATTGGAGATTAAAGACTCAAAGTAGAAAGGAAGAAGAAACATAAGCTTTTGATTGAAACACGTAGAAACTAAATTTACTATAGTTGAGCAACTGATAACTGATATATGAAAGATTAATTTAAGAACATGAATCAAAAATTACAATACCAAATCAAAAAGATGAAAAAGAATTGCAGAGGCGAGATGTCGGTTCTCTTTCTTCAAATCTTTAAACGCTTCGTAGTGTGACGGTTTCGTAGTAGTAAGATTCCTAGGATACAACTGCAGTTGTTTTTGTCTTCCAACACGGAACATAATCTATCTATCAATCCAAAATTTTGCAAGTATTCTCATACTCAAAAACAAATAAAATAAAATATGAGGATTGATCTGTTGTATTTGTCAACTTATGAGAAATATAATGGCTCAATATATGCTCGTCAAAAGCAATAAAGAGGAGACAAGAGAATTATTTTCTCATAAACACAATTGATTGCATAGTTTGACGTTTTCAAAATCAATACTAATTGATTTCTCAAATAAACGTTACAAGGAAATCAATTAGAGGAGACATTTTGTTGATTTAATCAACTCCATAATTCAAAAAAATTTGTATTAAAAGAATTAATTTTTTTAGACCATTGGTCCATTTGCCAAATTCTGAGACTCAAAGCCACAGTCCATACCTTAGTGTAACGGTTTAGTAACGGTAAGATTCCCAAGATACAACTGCGGTTGCTTCTGTCTTCCAACACTAAAAACATAATCTATCAAACCAAAATTCTGCGAGTATTCTGAGACTCAAAAACAAATAAAATAAATATGAGGAGGATTGATGTGTTGTCAGCTGTGTCTACTTATGAGAAATATAATGGCTCAATATATAGCCATATGCTCGTCAAAAGCAGTAAAGAGGAGACAAGAGAATTATTCTCTCATAAACACAATTGATTGCATAGTTTGACGTTTTCAAAATCAATACTAATTGATTTCTCAAATAAACGTTACAAGCAAATCAATTAGAGGAGATATTTTGTTAATTTAATCAAGGGTCAATTTGCAAAGTAACTATATTGGGGATCTAAATTAAAAAATTAACTATGCTAGTGGACTATTTAATTAAGTAACCATTGCACTACTTGGGCTGCCTATTTTGCCCCGCGACGACTGGGATTGTAATGCCCCAACCGCCGTTGAACTATCGGTATGCAGAAAAAATCTTCATCCCCTCGAGAGAAATCCTCATCTCTCAATAACATATAAGGAAAATCCTCATCCCTTCAGGAAAAAT